GGCTGAGAAGTTAATACACAATGGTCGTCCTAGACTGTCACTAGTAACTCTTGCACCTGTATTACAATTTTACTTCCACTTCTAGTTCTTTCATTGTACTTTATCAATTTATCACAGTGAACTTGTAACTGTGGACTTCTTTCAGCCTGTGGGTCATGTCACTGAGTGTGGCACCTCATCCTTACAGCTGCTGTGCAGATAAGGGATCTCTTCTCTACAAGAAGAGATAAGACAATGATGTAGGAGCTACAAGCTCCAATGGTGGTACCTACATAAGTGCTCTAAGGATCTGGAGGAGAAAGAAGTCAGGAGGCTGGCAGAGTCTCCAAGAGAGGACACCAGACCTGAGACAACTCTTATGAGGTGGGCAGCACTTGGAAAGGCAGCGAGAAAAGACAAAGGCATCAGGAGAAGACTGCTGGCAGGGTGATTACTGGGGCATAACTGGGGCATAGGAAGCTGCTTCTGGCAGTTCATGTTGGAGAACACAGCATAGGAAAGGTGAAAATGGTATGGTTACGGTCACAATGCCAAGGAGCACTCTGGATTTTAGCATATAGGAAGGGGGAAACTGAACATGGGACGGTGAGAAAAATTCATGTTTCTGAAAGATGGTCTTCGACAACTAGGAAAGGAAAGGTGGCCTGGGAAGTGGACCATGTGTGTGATGGGACTGCAGATAGGCAATCTGACTCGGTAATTTCAGAGATCAGAAAAGTAAAGTCTGAGACATTGTAAGAATGAACAGGCTTTGATTATCCTATCCAAAGCAACCACATGCCCACCTCAAGCACAGAATCGGTCTCTTCTTATTTTAATTACTTCTATATTTGGCTTCTAACATCGCAGATGAGATTTAGGTAGGGCCTTTAAGATCCTTATGTTTTGTTTTTTAAGATTTTTTTTTTTTTTATTTGTCAGAGATAGAGAGAGAGAACACGAGTAAGCGCCCACGCACAAGCAGGGAAAGTGGCAGGCAGAGGGAGAAGCAGGCTCCCCGCCGAGCTAGGAGCCCGATGCGGGGCTCGATCCCAGGACCCTGGGATCATGACCTTAGCCGAAGGCAGATGCTGAGCCACCCAAGCGTCCTGATGCTTATGTTTTTTATCCCAAGTGCCCTGCATTCACAAGAGGAAGGACCTCAGTAAATGCTGCAGAATGCTCAAAGGAAGGAATAGCAAGAGGACAGCTGGGCTGTAAGCCTGAGGATAAAGGAGTGGGCAGGTACCACCATGGCCAAAATGGATGTTGGGAAGGAAATATCCTTCTAGGTAAGAGCTCAGTTTGGGATGTTCTGACTTTGAAAGAAGGTGGCAAACCAAGAAACAAAAAAAATGGGAGTTCCTGGTAGATGTCACTTATATTTCAGATCTACATTTTTCCTTATTGTAGAAGGGCTGAGAGTGGGCTCTTAAGTATTTTCTAAATTATTACTTCAGTTATGTCAGACATTCTTTAACACTGGGATGCTACGTTTTGTTTTTTTTTCCATACCACAATCAAAGTAAAGTGATGCAGCTTCTTTTGACCTGTCTTCACAGAAAATAGGTACACTATCAGCTGTTAAGAGTGGCATCAGAAAGTTGAGGTGGAGAGTGCCAGCTGTGGAGTCAAATTCCTTGGGTTCAAATCCTGCTTCCACAACTTAACTACTATGTCACTATGGGCAGCCTACTTAACCATTCTCTGAGTCCCCATGGGGCAGTTGTGAAAATTAAATGAACAAAAAGTGCTTAGAACAGTGTCTGTTACGTTGAAATCACCAACTGCTGTATCTTTATATATCTGATAAGTTGATGATGGTTTTTAGCCTAGGTATTCCAGAATAAAATTAGAAGCCACAAATCCATGACAAGTTTCAAATTCTTAACAAATTAACTTCCAAGTCAGAATTGAGTAATAACCAGTCAATAGGAAAGCAGTCATTCACATAATACAAAACCAACAAATATTAAATGAATAAATAGACAGTGAATGCTTTCTGGACTTAACATAATGGTGCCCTAGCTTAAGAAAGTCCATTCTGAAGGTATAGGAATCTCTTTTCTTTCATCTAACTGCAGATTCACTCAGATGTTCCCTGAAAACCCTATGTACTTTTTCAGCTCTGTGGCCTCTGCGTCCCCTTCCTCTGCTTAGAGTCACCTTCCAGTCTTCTGGTTTACTCTTAGGCATGCTTCCGGGCCTATCCAAGATACCATTGCCTTAGCTTTAGCTGGTCTCTGACCCACCCTGACCCCACCCCAACCAGAAAATATATTTGTAAAGGTGCATTCACCAGATTCTTACACAGGTTAACAACTAGTATACAGTGTCCCATTTCTTCTTGCAGCCTCTGCGTGGCATGGGTCACGTCTTGCTTTGTATTCCCAGAGCTCAACCAATGCCATCATTATACTCGACTACAAAAACTTTGCCTTTAGACAAGGATTATTCAGTGTTAATCTCAACCTCCCTTCGTACCCTTAAAACAGGATCAGTAAATACCTAACTTGAGTGAAGTACATCCATCTTTTCACTCTACTCTGAGGAAAACAATTCCCAAATAAACAGTAAATTCAACTTGTCCAATGATGTAGAAAGAGACTCAAGTCTACATTTCTCTAGGCAACAGTTTTCCCAGCAGGATAACATGATGCTAGACAAGACCACTTTTACCAAATAACTGATATATTTCTCTATAAGGCTTTTCCTACATTGGTTAAAATCCTATCTGATTTTTCTCAAAGTTGGAAGGATAGCATTCAAGTTCAATTCAACCTTCATGCAAAGTGGCATGATTGCAGGAAGAACCTTGACTACTCCAAAAAAAAAAAAAATGAATATATACTGGGTAGAGCCCTAGAACATGACCCACACTGTTAGAGAATTCTGTCACACCAGATTGAGAAAAATGTCTAATTTAAGGTATTAGACACAAAACAAAATAAGTCATGTAAATAAACACAAAACATTCAGTCCTTGGGATGAATGATGGCCCACTACTCAAGTATATCCAATGGTAGCATTTTAGAATAGCAAGCAGGTAGGTAATTCACCTAGTCTTATGGACTCATCATCAGGGTAGGTAGGAAGTGACTTTCACATGTCACACAAAGCATCACGATGGGGCAGAAGCAATATTAAAGCCAGGCTTTTAATACTGCCAATTCATAACATGGTTTCCTTTTTTACTACTTGCAACTTAATAACGTGGCTTAGTAATTATTGAACAGATGAGCTGACACTGAAATGTAGTCTCTGAAAATCCAATTCCTTTGGATTATGTTCAAGGGTCCGTAATATATCCAAATTTATGTTCTTGTTAGTTAGCTTTGTAGAAGGCTGGGTAGCATATTGTTCATTTCTCATCACTAAGTCAGGAATATTTAAATAATTTAGCTTAGGGAACCTGGGTGGCTCAGTTGGTTAAGTGTCTGTGCCTTCGGCTCAGGTCATGATCCCAGGATCCTGGGACCGAATCCCGCATCGGGTTCCCTGCTCGGCTGGGAGCCTGCTTCTCTCTCTGCCTGCCGCTCCCCCTGCTTGTGCTGACAAATAAATAAAATCTTAAAAAAAAAAAAATTTAGAGCTTAAAGTGTGAAAACTGGGAGAGGGATTAACAACAATCTCACACTTACCAAGGCAACTAGGGATTGAACTTGCCCAAGGACGAGGCCACATACATTTTAGAGGTTTCTGTTCTCCCTGGCACTACCTATCTGTCTTAGGCAATGACTTCTCTACCCAGGCAATCTCTAATTCAGGTCTTCACACCCAGGAAACCTACTTCAGAAGCCAAAGTTTCACTTTAAAGACACACAGCAAAGAAATGTGTACCAATTCCCCTGGCCATCCTTCAGTCTTGACAGTGAAGCCTGACCTAGCATAATCACAGCTATCATGTCCTGCGGTCTGTTATGTCAGATGCATGGAGCCTCAAGCATCTTATTTAACTCAGACAACCCCAAAAGGCAGCCATTGCTTTTCCCATTTTAAAGAATAGGAAACAGACTCAGATTAAATACATTTTGCAAGTTCACAGAGCTAGTAAATGACAGAAGAGCATCTTAAATCTTCAGTACTCAAATGTATGTTTTTCCATTATACTATGGTGCCTCAAAACCTTTGCAGAAGCCCACTGCTGCATCTGATGTATACCACTAACACTATTCAGGTCACAGTTCCTTACCCTGAGCCAGGTAAAAAGTGTTAATTTCCATAAGCTAGGGAAGGGACTTGGTTTTGCTTCTAATTGGCTTAAGAGTTGCTTCATGAGTTTAAATTTTTGTTTCAAAGTTTTTTCATTAAAGAGATTACTGTCATACCTTATTACTAACAACATTAATTGTCTTATTAAATCATTAAGAGATGCCTAATGGCCTTTGGGCAGACTAGGAGTTAGAACTAAAGTTCTAGTCCAGTTCTCTTTTTCCAAGAGCACAGCAATCTACCTTGCTATAAAAATAGACACAAGAATGCTTAGTAGGTAAGGCATTTCTTTTTAAGGGGTAATGAAAATTCTGAAATTATAGTGATTGCTGCACAATTCTGTGAGTATACTAAATCACCGGATTGCAGACTAAATAGGTGAATCTTAAAGTATGTTAATTATTTAATAAAGATGTTAAAAAAACACATAAGAGACTTGATCAGTCAAATGTTAATTACCTAAGAGAAAGTAATTAAGGAATACTAATTTTACCATATCATTTTTGTTCTGTATTTACCCCGAACGTTAACTTGCCTAATTCCTATTATTTAAGTATGAAGTAACAAGAGTAAATGCAGACTTTATGCAGACCTCATAAATATCAAGACTCAAAATCAGGAAACGATAACAGGCACTAGAAAGGGGTAAGTAATAAGCCTCTTAAATAAGGATCAGAAGACATACACACTCTGAAAACTAAATGACAATTTACAAAACCATTTTTTGTCAACCCATTCGGTATTCAGAGCAGGAGTTAAAAACACATTTTTAAAAAGTTCTTCCCACCAAGACTATAAGGACTACTTACCTTGTGACAAGGAACCAAGCAATCTGACTGAAGTCTGGAGAGGGCCTCATATATGTTTTAATATGTGGCATAGCATTGCTGCGGCCAGATGTGTCAGCCGACCATTTGCTAGTGACAGGAAAGACCCGTTACCAGTAAGAAAATATAAACCTGTCATAATCCTAGTATTAGGAAACTTTATGAAAAGCAAAATCCTATAATCTAAACAGTGGGTACACAGTTCTCTCATGGGACCTCTAATATTTTATTAAACTCTGTTTGAGAGCAGTAAGATAAAACACTGTAACCCTTTGGTATCTAGCCTTACTGGTTTTTTTTTTTTTTTTTGCCAGTAAGACATGTATATATTCATGTCTATTACTTCTGCTGTGTTTTCAACTGCATATGTGCATGTCTTGTTTCCTACGTGGACTGTGAGCTCCTTAAAAGGAGGAATCATGCTCCCACAGTGCGTTACCAAGTACGGGCTCAGGAAGGTTGTTGAAAGAAAGTACAAAATGGGGAAAAATGCCAACAGGATATTAAAACAATGTTAAAAAGCAGGAGGATGGGGCACCTGGGTGGCTCAGTGGGTTGAGTGTCTGCCTTTAGCTCAGGTCATGATCTCAGAGTCCTGGGATCAAGTCCTGCACTGGGATCCCTGCTCAGCGGGGAGCCTGCTTCTCCCTCTCCCTCTGCCGCTCCCCCTGCTTTTGTGTTGTGTCAAATAAAATCTTAAAAAAAAAAAAAAAAAAAAAAAAGAGGATAAATTGGCAACAATTCAGTCCAAGGCTAACATTTACCTGTCAGTATTGCAGGACTGAGGTTCTGTAGGAAGAGAGGGCCTACCATCGTGAGGCAACAATCCTTTCTTGCAAAGAGAAGAGGCTAAGACCAGAATTAGGATTAGGTGGATTGTTCCTTCAATCATTAAATTCACTTGAATGACTCGTGAAAGGAACTCATCAATATAAAGAAATGTTCTCTGTAAGGAATAACCCCCCAACGGGGGTCTACAGGGACACACGGATGGGCCCACAAGGACACAATGAATTAGCCTGCAAGCTACTGAGATGCAATCGGCCTTTGTTTCCAGTGGCCAAGTGTAACACATGCCTGAAGCAAGCAGGAAACTGCACTGGCCTAGAAGAGTCAAGAGTGTGCCCACCGGAACAAGAGGAGGATGAAAGACAATCCCTTCACCTGCCCACTCAACCATTCACTGAGCCCTTACAACAAACCAAATACGATCCCATGTGCTGGACAAAAAGTGGTGTGGACTCCACCCACGGCAAGCTTGCAATCATACAGTATGTGCATGTACATGTGCAGACAGAAGAATTATAATGTGAAAATATGAGCTAAAATGTTGCTGAATCACTACATCGTACGCCTGAAACTAAGGTAAGATGGTGTGTCAATTATACTCAAATAACATTTTTTTAAAATGCTCCTTACATAAATTGTAAATTACCCATCATCATCTTTACTTTTTTTTCTTTGAAGGCCAATATTTAAATACAAACCTCACAGATCAGTTTTATCCTTTGGTATTAAAAACCTATTTCAAATAATGTTCAAAACCTGGTTTTAAGTTATTTCTATCACTAACATACGTAGATGAAAAAATACAGCTGTATTATGTAAGGTTCTTTAAAAGAACACACTGACATAAATAACATTCATATTCCTGAAGAAGCAATAGCAGCATTCTAAACCAATTACTTACTGAAAATAGGAATGAAGCCAATTCTGTTTTTCAGCTGTCTGGATGCTATAGGGAAGAGAACCCCCAGCTTTTCCAAAAGAAGAAAACAAGTATTACAGAAAATAATTTTAGGATCCTTCATTAAGAATCTACAGTAAACACTGAAAAAACAAAACCACTTCCTATTTCATCTTATGAAAAGAAAGAAAAGGTCTATACTTGTATTAGGTATGTTCCCTCAGTGTTTCCTTTCTGAGGGATACATGTTAAATGGTAAATGTTTACAATCTGAAAAGAAAGAGGCATTATTTAATCACTTGGGGGTGGTAATTTAAACATTAATAACAGCACAGATTCGAAGTATCTGAAAAACTACATGAAGAACTCTGGCCTATCCTGCAGTCCTCCCGCAGGCAAGAAATCCTTAGCCCCATTTTGGTCTGGAACATCTCCATTGTTGCCCAAGAGCAGGACACTTGGGAAGGTAGACTAAGATGAAAACTCAGTTCCTGCTTCCTTTATCCTTTACATTCTGCTATTTCCAAGCAGTTTGTATTAGCTAAACATTCTTACAAATGGAATAGAGTAGTACAGTTGGGTAGTACAGTTGGTTAAGTGTCTAACTCCGTTTCGGCTCCAGTCACGATCTCAGGATCTTGAGATCGGGGCTTGCCCTGGGCTCCCTCCTCAATGGGGAGTGTGCTTGAGATCTCTCTCTCTCTCTCTCTCTCCCGCCCTCTGCTCCTCCTGCTCATGTTGTCTCTCTCAAACATATAAATTAAAAAAAAAAAAAAAATTCAGTAAACAGTTGCTTTTTAAAAGCGATGCTAAAATCCATATTCCTGCATCAAAAGTAGAGATACAGTTCCAAGTGGAAACACAATTAGTAGCCAGTTTTTGTTCATCTTAGAAAGGAGGAAGTTCTATTGTAGATTCACCACTGACTTCCCAAATACATGTTAGAACTTCTCCATAAATAATCTATATCCAAAAAGGGCTTTAAATTTCTGAGTCATCACAAGGCATGTCGTATCCTCTACTACAAATAACTAAAAAACGTATTTAGGGCCAGTTACAAAATAGTTTTATGGAAAATACCATGTTCTTCCCCATTAAAAAGCACATTTTGAATGAATCTAGTGTATCAGAAGTGGAGAAAGGAGAAGACAAAAACCAACCAAAACCTCACCATGTCTCTGAGTCTCAGTGAAATGATTTTGGCTTTGCCATTAGGTAGCAACAAATGGGCTGATACACTACACTCCAAACCTTACTAAGATTTTTCTGGCAGGGTCACATCTAGTTTGACAAGCAATAAATGGACTAAATTAGTCTAATTCAGAGCATTCTGCTTCCAGCCACAAGCAAATGCCAATCAGATTTCTTTTTTCCAGAGACAAACCCTACTTGGGTTTTTGGTTATTGCCTCCTGAATGTGTTATCCGGAGGGCTGCTGGATTCCAAATAAAAGTTCAGTGTCTAGCACTGTATATAAGGAAAATAGCAAACAAAGTTGAGAGTTACCTACAAAATCAACCTAGGCACTTATAGATGAAGTGCTTTAGAAAGGACAAGTTATCAACTAGGTAACACCAAAGGTTCATCCCAAAATTAAGCAGAAGTTATGGACCTTAAATATACCTGTGATTCAAAATTGGAAGAACCACATAGAGCCACAGACACAAGCAGGGAGAATATGGAGAGAGATCAGAGAAAGGCATGTTAGAATTTCTCTGGAAAGGCAGGACGCAGCAGGGAAAGGTGTTTTTATTCAGACATCTCGTCTGGACAACCAACCTGTTGTTAGCAGAAGGGACAACCTTACTTGTGGAAATGAGAACAAGTCCTCACAGTGTTACTGTGAGGATTCAGTAACACACTAAAATTGCCCAAAAGCATGGAACCATCTTTGGGACACAGTACTACTCAATATTACCTATTTCCAGGATTCTTAGCCAATTAAGGGAAAATATTCTCCAAATTTCTAACCAGTTCTTTTCTCAAGGAGAATGGCATTTTTATTACTTGTTTTAAAAAGTTTACCAGGGCATTTATGAAAGATACACACAAAAAATGCAACTGAGACAGTCTCCAGCAATTACCTGGATATCCTTCTAAGCTGGTTCGCACATTTTCCACAGAAGGATAGATCTAAAAATAAAGGAAAAAAATTTTTAAAAAAAGGAAAAATACAAAATAATACTCAAAATGTACCATTTAAAGAAACTTTCTTAAAAAGAATGTTTTTAAGATGAAAATCTCAATTAGAAAGATTTCATTTAGGGACACCTGGGTGGCTTAGCTGGTTAAACGTCTACTTTCGGCTCAGGTCATGATCCCAGGATCCTGGGATTGAGTCCCACATCGGGCTCCTTGCTCAGCAGGGAGCCTGTTTCTCCCTCTCCCTCTGCTGCAACCCCCAGCTCCTGCTCTCTCTCTCTCTCTGACAATTAATAAAATCTTAAAAAAGAAAAAATATTTCATTTAAAAACTTAAAACATGTACTTTAAATTTTAAGACTTTCCATCTTACGAAAAAATGTAACTTCTAAGCAACTATAGGAAGCATATATATTCAATGAAAAAACTTCAATTTCAGTTTTTCTCTTAAAAATGCCAAATTAACACTGACTTCAATGCAAAATTAATTAATTCAAAAGTCTCTAATAATGCTCATAATTCTGCTGGCAAGGCTTATCAAACATTTTTTTCTTTGGCTTGAGAACCTGAAGGAAGGAATGGAAAAATCACAGGCTAGTATGTAGCTGAAATGGAGCTCTGGAGAGAACAGCACCTTCCCAGCACCAGAGGATTCAAGGGCCACTTGATCACACATGATGATGCTAATGTACTGCTGTTTCCATGCAAGAATCACTGACTAAAACCTCTACGGGGGGGAGGATGGATTCTCACGCTTCTCTGGGAGTAGAGAATACACATGATCAAGTGAGGTAGGACAGGCACTCACCAGATGAAGAGGAATGGAACTTCTCCCTGGGGTCCGGCTTTCCTTCCCCAGCGTCACCAAGCTTTCTTTAAACTCAGAACACAACCATTTCGAGTCATCAGCTCCCATAGACCCAATGCTTGAAAATTGACCTACTATTGGCCAAGACTCTCCTTTAGGAGAAGCATGCTCTTTCAGAAGCTGTGAACAGAAAAATTTTAACAATTCAGAATATGATTTTCTGTCCTTGGAACCCCTAATCAACAGAAAAATGCTGAGAATACTACATATCAATTTCATACTCATTTTTTCTTTGGAAAATATTCTTTAAATACTAAAAATATTTTAATGGAGTAGGTGGACAGAAGTATTCTTCCAAAATTCTTTGATCTGTATTAAAGCAAAATCAATTTTTTTTAAAAGATCCCTTTTAGAAACCTCCTACACTGTTGGTGGGAATGCAAGCTGGTGCAACCACTCTGGAAAACAGTATGGAGGTTCCTCAAACAGTTGAAAATAGAGCTACCATACGATCCAGCAATTGCACTACTGGGTATTTACCTTAAAGATACAAATGTAGGGATCCGAAGGGGTACATGCACCCCAATGTTTATAACAGCAATGTCCACAATAGCCAAACTGTGGAAAGAGCGAAGATGTCCATCGACAGATGAATGGATAAAGAAGATGTGGTATATATACACAACGGAATATTATGCAGCCATCAAAAGGAATGAGATCTTGCCATTTGCAATGACGTGGGTGGAACTGGAGGGTGTTATGCTGAGTGAAATAAGTCAATCAGAGAAAGACATGTATCATATGACCTCGCTGATATGAGGAATTCTTAATCTCAGGAAACAAACTGAGGGTTGCTGGAGTGATGGGGGGGTGGGAGGGATTGGGTGGCTGGGTGATAGACATTGGGGAGGGTATGTGCTATGGTGAGCGCTGTGAATTGTACAAGACTGTTGAATCACAGATCTGTACTTCTGAAACAAATAATGCAATATATGTTATGAAAAAAAAAAGATAGCAGGAGGGGAAGAATGAAGGGGAGTAAGTCGGAGGGGGAAACCAACCATTAGAGATGATGGACTCTGAAAAACAAACTGAGGGTTCTAGAGGGGAGGGGGGTGGGGGGATGGGTTAGCCTGGTGATGGGTATTAAAGAGGGCACATTCTGCGTGGAGCACTGGGTGTTATGCACAAACAATGAATCATGGAACACTACATCAAAAACTAATGATGTAATGTATGGTGATTAACATAACAATAAAAAAATTAAAAAAAAAAGATGGATCATCGAAGGGAGACTGAAGAAACTGTGAAGTCTTACAGTGATTCCTTGGAGCTCCCATCCATTAACCACTTCTATGTGGAGCTGTGGAAGAATTAGTGGGGGCCCTGTTCCCACCCCCATGAGGGAGGGAGAATTTGATCCTCTGCATTAAGTGAAATATACTTCTGCACCTCAAAAGAGAATTCAAATGCATTTTCTTTTAGAAACATCATTGTAAGTATGACTGGAATAAATAAGCTGTCAAGGACTTTTCTGGAAAGCAAAAAAAAAAAAAAAAAGATCCCTTTTAGTAGGAATGTCAGATAAACCACTGACCTGCCATATGAAATGAGATTTTGCCTTGAAATAATACCTAAAAAAAAATGCAAACTATTGTATATTTTGACTCCTATCATTTGAAAGAGATTTAACACTTGGGCTCCACACAGTGATGCTCTAAAATAAATAAATAAGAGTGTATTTATGTATATATACAGAGCACCCTAAGCACTACAGGGAGCCTGATCTGCATTTCCCGCTTTGATACTTATGCAAAGCTGCAGAAACAACTCAAAAATATTTGGAAATTTTATCTACTTAAACATGTACTGTGTGTTTACTACCAAGAGGCTGAAGAAAAATAAGCCGCAGTTCCTGTCCCAATGGAGCTCATTGTTTAATTTCATATGTATTATTTTTCTTAACACAGCTTTAGTATTATAAAAGCCTAGTTCTCAGTTTTTGCCCTCCTGCAGCATGGTGTAAGAAACAGGACTGAACTGACAGTTACAAGACCCAGTTTCTGTTCTGGTGCTCAGCCCCTGATCGGCTACCTGGCCCTGGACACGTCCCTGGGCTTCCATTTATAGGTCAGTGAAACACAAGTCTGACCATTCCCGTCTTCCCTGGAAGGCAGCTGTGATGCAACAGGAGCTTGTGAGAAGTGGTCTGGAAACCAAGATGCTCTTTATCCTCCAGGAAGACTGATTCTACACACCATGTGGTAGCATCTAGCCTGTCTCAACCATCAGGCCACAAACTGAGAGCCACCAACCAGCACACTGAAGGCTCAACATGTGCCTTGCCTTCTCTAAGTTCGTCTAACCCTTATGCAATTTTCTGAGTGAAGTACTGTTGTTATGCCCATTTTATAGAGGAGAGGCAGGTCATATGACTTGTTAACAGGTGAGGATTTGAACCCAGGTATGGGAATCTACCTCTAAGCTATCCACTCAGCCAGTGTGCTCGAATGCCTTCCCTAGGTCAAGAAATGAGGATGTTGGCTTCCAGATCTTATGTTTTCAGCTGTGGTCTCATTTCAAAAAAGCAAATTAAGTTTCATTAACCAAGGGTAATTCTTATATGACAAATACTTCACAGAAAAAGGTAAAGCTTTTACGAGAGCCACGTAGGGAATTTATTAGTGTCATTAATGTATCTCCTAAACAGAGATGAAAAAAATCGTCAACTTTAACTTGTTTTAATTTGTTAAAGACTTTTGTCATTTTCATACCACCAGCAAAAGTCTCTTTTGTAATAACTTTTAAAGGCCCTGGTTTAGTAAACAAAATACGTTATAGTACTATTTACTTAATAGTACTCTTTTCTGTTCTTTGTTGAATTTGTGTGTTAAAAATCCTTCAGATCCTGAAATCAAAAGCTACAACAGCTGCATAAATGAGAAATCTATATCAACTAAAAAAGTCCTTATACTTTTGCCATTTAGAGCAGTCTACACCTCTAAAAGATAAAACATTAAAAAGTAATTACTGAAAACTATCAATTTATCAAGAGCCTGGTCACCCAGAATTGTGCTAGTTACAATGAAGCTGCCATCAAAATATACAATTATAAATGAACAATATATATTAATTTAAAAAACAGTAAAAATTCTGTTACCTTTCTAAGCCTAAAATGTCCCCAATTATCTTTCTGACTTCCTTGAAAGCGTCCTGGGGTTGATCCAATAAGATAAACACTAAAAGGATATAAAATACAAGTTATAGAACAGAGTGATATAATTTGTGGACCCCCAAATCACAAAATACACACAAAAACTAATGTTATCATGAGATGTTCTAAGAGACCACCTATTCTGAGGTGCCTCCTCAGAACAGTATTGTTACTCAAACTAATTTTCAAGCACATCAACTCATGGTGGAACACTCATGAGGTATAAGGTGCCGGCAATGAAATCAGTCACTTTAGAAGTACTCCAGAGGGAGGCTTATGGTGAGCAAGATAATTACTGGCCTCCACTTTAGTGCCTCAGATCTAGGAGATGCAGATAAATAAGAGAATCTGCTCTCATGTTATGAAGGACAGCCAAATATTCTACCTCTTTCCAAAGCCCCTGCACTGCAGATACTGTGTGGCTCTCAAGGTATTCACCCACTTTAAGAATTCCAAATTGCTAAACACCACATACTTGGTTTCAGAGAGATCATGTTTGTGGATGATATCTATCCACTCCTTGAGTGAAGGAGCATTATAAGCCATCAAGTAGCTGATGAGATCAGCTTTAAAATGTGTTGTTGATTCTCCAGATGTATGGGTTCCATGGGTAATTCGTGGGTATAAGGGGCTCAACCATATTCTGGAAGAGAAAAAAATAACTGAACAGTCAGGAAAGGAACTGATCACAATGATACCTGTGTTGACTACACATTCACCCTAAGGAAGAGGCGAATCGAACTTCCTGTGTCCACGTGGTAAGTAGAGGATCCTCAGGGAACATGAAGCATAAATCCCATCATACCACTCCAACGGCTTCCATGATATTCAGAATGATTTTTCAATACCTCACCATGAATTTAGGACCCAGTAAAGGTGGGCCTTTGCCCACCTCTCAACTCAATGCTCTTTGCTCCCTCTTTGACCACACCTTCCTTATTCTTTACCCCCGCCCCCTACCTCCATACTGCTAAGACCCTGTGACAACGGTTAACAGCTGCACTAATTGTTACAGCAAATCCATACCACCTATAGTAACCCCAGCAAGCTACACCCATGTAGCTCTTCAGGCAAATGGGAAAAAGTTACCTACGCTAAGAAAAATGTATATACAAATCTATTTACAATAAATGAACTCATTTTCATGACATATATGCTATAGCAGTTTGAGATATTTGCATATCCTGTACTTTTCTGGCATCTGCAATGAGTAGATACATTTAATGCTATTACATTTATACTAACCTCAGACTTTCAAATAACTTAGTAAACAAAATATTAAAGACATCTTTCATTTCGCCAATTCTCCTCAAAGGAGGACAATTCTGTTCACCCAAACTTCTATACACCCACAAGTGGGAAAAGCATATCTAAACCCAATCCTTCTATGACGCGCTCCAAGACAAATCACAAACAAGTATGGCTTCAAATCTCATGCTCAGTTTGAACTGCAAAACCAGGCTAGCAGTCCTGCATCACAGGACACGTGTGCCTCACACTTGAGATAATGAACAACGTCCAGGCTTAAACAAGCCCTAAGGATGTATTTGCTGTTACCACCTTTCCACTTCTGTGGCTATCCCTCTGCAGTTCTACCCATTAAGCCCAAAGGGAAACTGCACAATTCCTTTCACCCGGCAACCCTCAAAGGAGACTGGCAAGATGCAGGCCACCAGGGCAGGAAAAATCCAGAACCATAAGGGTCCTGCATGTACATCTTCTGAAACACATACGTTTCTAGCAGGGTGGCATGTCACACCTTTCCTTCCCACCTTGAGGAGACCCCTTGTACAAGGGGTAACATGTGTGACAAGGACTACAGCGCCCAGGTTCTGGGGCCAGATCTGCTTCTAACTGGCTGTGTCATTTGGCACCAGCCCAACCACCTCTGTGAGCGCCTGCCTCTCTACGTGTAAAATGCGCACACTGGGCTGGACGGATGTGTCAGTCTCTCCCCTCACAAATAGCAATTCAGAGCCCACAGGCTGCTGGGCTTCTCCTAGATTAGAGGCTCACTCACAACCGTGTCTGGATGAGGAACAGGACAGATGACGACTTTCTAAACCAGGATACGGAGATGTGAGGTGTTTTTAGCACTTGACAAAGTAAAATGTGAAATTATCGTGGGCCAAATAATTTTAAAAGTGAGAAATTAAAAGGCAGACCAAGCAGCAGCTGAAAAGGATGGCTGAAACACTTGTATAGCAGAAAAGGACCAGAGCATAACTAGCAGACCAATCATGAAAATTACACAAAAGGACTACTTTTAAACATTTAAAAAATTATAACACACAACACAAAAATGCAAATTTGAGATTAGAATCTAGACTCACTGTGGGATAACAGTATCCTACTCGAGGGTGGCTGGCAGAGGGAAACTGGAGATTTCATACCCTTGATACTTTTAAGTTTGAAACCATGTGAAGCTAGAAACTAGTCAATTTAAAGAATTAAAAAAACACTTTCTCCATAATGGAAAAAAAACCTGAACACCTGAATCATTATCCTTAATCCCTTCCCCCATAGCAGCCATCCTGGAAAGACCTAAATAAGCATGGCTCAAGCTTCTGACTCCAAAAAGAGCTGGGGGCCATGGGTGGGATTCTTTCTTTGAGCCACATAAGACTCAGTGCCAACTTGATAAACTCCATTATGACTCATGAGTTTCAAAACCCAACCCAGCAGCTAAGCAGCTGTAGGAATAGCAAAGGTGTAGTTAACTCTAAATTCAGTTGATCAAGAGTCCTCCTGTGGCTGAGGCTTTTAGAGACAGTGGTGATCCCCTCCACCCTGAACCAGCTGGAATTAACTGCATTTTGAGAAGATTTTAAGTGGGACACTTGAAAACTGGAACATGTTTACAGAAAAACTGTCAGCACTGGGGGAGGGCTCTAAGCCACTTGCTAGGGGAGTAAAGAGAGAGCTAGAGATGTTGGGCTCAGGAAAAAGCCTGCTTTTCAAACTAGAAGGGCTGTCTGAATGGAGAGAGGGTACTCTTGTTCTACACAGTGGTGGAGTCGAACCAAGCCCACAGGACGGAGTCTAGAAGGTCCTGCATTTCAGTTCAACCTAAGATGTGACTTGGGCTCTGCCAGAGCTAACATGTCCTGAAATTAAGAGTTCTACACAGCCTGGGCAGTGACAAGGAGTGTAAGGCTAGGGAGGAGGAGAGTGGAGAATATGGGAACTATGAAAGCTGCTAGATGAATGCTTGAGTTTCTTCTAAACTTGGAGAAGGCAGAGATGTACAAAATGGCTTAAAAAAATGGAAATGAAAGCCAACCAGAAGGAAGAGCTTACCAAGTGGGAGAATAATGCTTAAAACTTGAGGTGAGCAAATCCCCAAAACAAAAAACCAAGCCCCTCTTCTAAAAAGGATTCAAAGACTAGATCTAGCATAAGTATACCAAGAACAAAGGATTAGTAATAACAAAGCACGAAAAAATATCAAATTCAATTTTTCTTTTGGTGATTCATGACCACGACCATATTAAAGGCTTAGACATCAGATTTCTTTCATGGAAAAATAAACTGAGGATGACAGGAAGTTTTTAGCATATGATTAACCACTAAGTTTCCCTTCACTACCATCTGGGAAATGGCAAGCAAGAGTATAGTGGGTTCTGGGACAAGTTATTGATGGGTCTCACCAAAAAAATGGGTTCAGACCTTACATTTTATACCCTCTTTCCTGCCTCAGATCCTTTGCATATGCCTGTTGCCTGTGCCTGGCTGCAGAGTGTGTATAATCCCATTTTTGTTAAGAGCTAGGGGAAAAAAAAGTATTTCTGTATACATGTAATAGTCACGGATGTGCATGTACTAAACTGTTAGCACTCGTTACTTCAAGAGAGTCGGCCTGGGGCAGGGCAGTAGTAAAATACTTTCTGTGTAGGTCTCTTTTCTGTGCCACATGTGAGGGTGTTCTTTTTTTTAAAAAACAATATAAGAAAAGGAAAAGGGAATGACACCCACAGCCACTGCTGTGAAGTAACTAGAAGCCTACAAACCCCTGAGTCTTCTGGTGCCAGTCAGCATGGATGAGGTTGGAGGTGTGGATGACAACCCGGAGGCCTTCTTCGTACAGCAGGAACATCATTTTCCTTTAAGAACAGAGAAGAGACCAAAAGCATTAACACCACTTTTAAAATATGTACTATTTTTCCAGTGCAAATATCACAGCTAAAGGAGTTCTTAGACCCTTCTAATACTCAAACATTTATAATCTTCATTTCTTCTACACATTATTAAAATCAAAGTCTATTTCAGTGACAGGCAGAAAACCACCTTCCAAAATGCTGAGTATCGGTAAGTGAACGTTTGCCTCATCCTACCCACGTTCCCAGCCTGACACTCCGAGCCCTTACCCTTATCCATTACCTGCTACTATTCCGGACTATGGAAAGCTTCCTGTCCAGTGTTTTTCAAAGTATGGTCACAACCTTCTGCTACATCATGGCTAGCATTTTTTTTAAGAAGTTGCAATAATGGGGCGCCTGGGTGGCTTAGTCAGTTAAGCATCTGACTCTTGATTTTGGCTCAGGTCATGATCTCAGGGTCGTTAGGATCGAGCCCCACATTGGGCTCTGTGCTCAACAGAGAGTCTGCTTAAGATTCTATCTCCTTCTGCCCCTCCTGCTTACGCTCTCTAAAATAAATGTATCTTCAAAAAATTGTAATCAAGTTAGAAACTGAAAAATATATTGTAGATACTTAAATAACTGGTTTTAGCACATGAGTATGGACACGTGTAGCAGACTAAAATGTACACTGTATTTTTTAATGTGAGCTGCGGCTTAGAAAAGTTTGGAAATGCCTCACTATCCTAAGACTGATCTTTTCTCATACCCCACAAATGCCATACTCATCACCAATGCATTTCTGGCCTTGAAATAAATCTTTCCTTTTCTTCATTTACTCAAATCAGACCCAGTTGAATCCTCCCTTTGCCACGGGCCTTCCTTCCCCAGGCCTCTGGTCATCAGAGTTCTCATATTTTAATTCTAGCGAGAGAAGGAAGAGGATACAAACAAGAGCTTTCTCCTTGAAGCCGGAAGGCCTGTTCCAGTCATCAGTTGGAGGCCATAGGACCCTAAGGAAGTCACTCAGTGTCCCTCAGTTTCTCATTTACAAAACGAAGGGTAAACAACCCCTTCCCTGCTGCAGAGGGCTGTGAGAAGGAAATGTAACATGCGTTCGTGAAACAAACTCTCACATGTGTGCACTTCCAGGACTCCTTCAGTGTCTTGCTTCATTTTTTTCATCTACTACTGGAGGGCTTTTGGCCTCCCAATTGTTTCCTAATTATTTCAGGAATCTAAGTTCTCTCCCTGTAACTAGAGATTCCCTCCTCAAGGCAGTCACTCTGCCTTATTTCCACTGGGGCCAAAATGCTACTTAATACCTACTGATGTCAGTTCACACATGGGGGGCAAAATGAACCACTGGTTCTCTCCAAACCAACAATACCGTGAATAGTATTTGGACAGGATGAGGTTAACACAAAAAGATAATGCAAAGAATAGAGAATGAGATATTCAGCTCTTGCCAAAATGAGAAGTTAACCGAAGCCGGCAAACAGTAAGTTAATGCAAAGCTGGAGAAGTGACAGCTGCTGAACCCATCTTTTCTCCATTTATGAAACGTGCTCCCTGAAATCTGGGCAGATTTACACACACAGTTGCCAAATTAGCAGCTGCCTGTAATTAAGAATAAGGCCAGTTATGAATTCAAGATGTAAGTTTCACAAATATTTCCATTAATCAAGGCATCAATTATCAGGAAAATCATGTACTGCTGTCAGTGAATCCTACCCAACAGAACTGGGAGCTATTCTAAGGAGAGCCATCATCTCAGACAAAATGGCATGAGCTAATAAAAATCACAATTAAAAATGGATAAAGGATAAGAAAGGTCTCCCTTGAAGAAACGCTGCCCTCCCTATCACCTGTTAAGTTGTGGGGGCAGCAAAAGGGATTATTTCCCAATCTGGAGCTACTCGTGTAAAGGGGGGAGAACACAAAGGTCTGCGGAGCACCTACGCGCCAGGCACGCCAGCAGCTCTCCAGAACAGCAACACACCAAATCCCCACAGCAATCCAGGAGGCGTTAACAGTCGCATTCTACAACTGCAGAATCTACGGCTGGGTAGGCAATGGGAATGATCAAGGTTCCCGAGTGAGCCAGGAGAGCTTGTCTGGACCACACGGGCTGGGATCTTTCTCTCACTGTGCACAGTTTCCACAGGGAAGAACGGGGCCGAGGACACTTCACACGACTGGCGTGTGAGTGGGTGGACGGGCAGACACTGTGGTCTGGGGGAGACGAAGGACTAAGTCATGTGTGCTGGGAGGCCGGCTACAGAAGCAAGCAGAAGGGGGTGCCTTGACCACCCTGCAGTCTGCCACTGGTTCCCAGTTAGACATTCCCATTTGGCAGCTTTGGCTTCCTTCCTTCCCCGCTGTTGATTATCAGGGCCAGAAGTACTTTTGCTCCCAGCTCTGGGAGACACTGAAAAGCTTCAGAATTCTAAAGCAGTAGGTGACAGGCCCTGGGACTGCATGGCATCCTACAGAGACATGGATAAAGCACGTTTATTGTACCTAACAGGGATGATGATGATGGGGGCTACATCTTGGTGGTCTTCGGATGCTCTATGCACAGTACATGGTCAATGCATGCTTGCTAAACTGAATGTCAAAGACTATTCCCTATTTACTGCAGTAGCTACACTCTCGAGTTGGGGAGGCACGTGACACCCCAGGACCAGGAGCTGGAAGGCTTCCTCCTTTTTCTAACTCCTATAATTTCACCTCTCTCACCCAAACACTAAGAGCTAGAAGAACTATTAAGTCTCAAAACACTAGAACTGTGTCTTAATATTTAATGAATTCTTTAAAAAAATTTTTTTAAATGAGCAACTGAGTAACTTCGAGACATGAATTTAATCTCCTACAAGATACTGGCATTTTAACAAAATGTGAACTACACAGACTATGTGGCTGGGAAGGACTCTGTTGTAACTGCTTCCCTAGGCATTTACAACTCCAAGTGAGTAACTCTGCTGGGTTCAATCTGCTAAGTGTGTGTGTGTAATGGGGGTGAGGGGGAAGAGCAGACCAAAGGAAACTAGCTGTTTTAGCTGTAAACAAATGAGAATAAAACTTAAATGAGTTCTAGTCCTATCTTCAACAGTAGCTAGAAGGTAACTGCTTATCTACTCAGGACCTCTATATAATGAAAAGGAAGGACCAAATAATATGTTAAATAGCATAAAAAAAGGGATAGCCCCTCTGGATCAATCAAATGTCACTGTGCTAGATCCTGGCCAGGCCCAACATGTTCAGTCCCTCAGGACTTACAGTGTAACTGAAATGAAGATGGAAGACACAGGCTCTCCTATGTGCCAGCATGTAACTGCAGCATGATTATGCCCAATGTGGACTGCGGGCTCAGAATGTATGGCTAGTGCAGGAAGCTGGCACTAAAGATCTAGCAAGTCATGTCCAGGGCCCAAATGGGGGGGCAGTATTTTAGAATCAGTAAGGTATTTATGCTAGGGGTCCAACTAAGGGCAGTGGGCTAGGCTCCATTCAGTGCTATCCAGTGCTGGCAGAATGCCTACCTAGGACAGGTTGACTATTGCCATCCACCACCAGGCTCTCCTGTGATGCAGGGAGGGGAGTCTAAGATACCTATTCAGTCTATTCAAGGCTATTTTGTATCCTTTGCTGAAGTTAGCATCCTGTGACCTCAGTGCTACATAAAGAGTAATTTATACCTGAGCTAAATGCTTAAAGTTCACAACAATCCTCAAACCCTGTCCTGTCAGAGGCTACCATTTAGGGATGGTGGTAAACACTGCAACATTTACTCAAGGGGATCTGAGACTAGATAATGTAGGGTTGAAAGGCATCCTTTTATGAAATGGCTCAACTCTTCCTGCTCTGGTTCCTTTTTAAAACAGGCTGTATGCTTCAAACTGTATTTTGCCAAAGAAAGATGAACATATTTCCTTATTTCAAGTCACCATAACATCAAGAAAACAATGGCCACAGCAAGACTCAGGACTAATATTCCTATGAGATCCCTTGTTGCCCTAGAGATGGACACCTGAAGGAATCTGCTTGCAATACCAACCCATTTACACCATTGGTCTCAAAGATGAGGCTTTGTCACATTCTTTTGACAAATCCTTTTTAGAGAAATGTGATTTATAAAAATATTGAAAGAGGGACAACCATATCTTATTCTTTTTCTCATTTATAGAACAATTATGTAAAAAGGCTCAAATAGCTTTAAGACTCATGGCAGCAGAACGGGAGTCAAACTGATCATTAGGTACGTGTCAGGTAGGCAGTAATAGTTTTTCCTGTCTGGTTTACAACATCTCAAAATTATTCTAAAAGGAACTTCTGAGAAGTCTTGAGCAGCGATAGGCATCAGCTTCTCAAGTTAACAACTTTGTAAAATAGTTTTTCTTTCTATCACAGCATGAGGCTGACCTAACAATATTCTATTTAATGCAACTCAGCATCTTAAGAGATCACCAGACTTTAAGGTAGTAGAATCCACAAGCACATGACCCACACGTACAGTCATCCATAACCATGGACCACACAACCACCAAATACTGCCCCCCCCCCAAGTAGGCTATAAGAAATGTCCTGAACAGAAAGAAAGCAGAAACCCCATCATGGATTCAGATTTTCATGTTGAGAGCCAGAATCCCAGGACTTTGTCTTAAGGTCATTAGTAAACAGTTCCACTGACTCTACTTTTTACTGACAGATTCTTTTCCCTAGCAAAACTGTCACCTGTGAGTTCCTTCAAAAGCACTTTTGGAGTCACCTCCTTGGCTCTACTAAAATCATACCCTCCCCCATCCCATAAAAATTTGCTTACGTGTGATGTGTTCCAAATGCAATATCCAACTTTGCCTAGGATGAAAAAGAAGTTGAGTCACTTACTTTTAACAAACCGAATATCCCTAGCTATTGAAAATTAAGTTAGAAAAGGCTCCGGTCAACTTTGTTTTGAATTGTTTTTACTGCCCTCTAGTGGACAAGCCCTGGACTGACACTACAACTTTTATAATCCTACCCAGTGAGGCTCATTAAGACTTTTTTCTGTTAGCCAGAATGATTTGATACATACTCCATTTTTAATTACAGTAATCAAAGCAAGAAGCCAGATTTCTCTAGTTGCCAAAAAACCAAATGAGACCCTATGCAAAAATGTGAAGATATCTGGCTTATACAGAAATTAACGTTATCAGAGTTTCTAGACCATATATTAAAAAAAATGTGGTAGCATACACTGATGTTAAAACAGAAGTTCTCTTATATTGACAACCTAGCAAGTGCTGAAAAGAGATAATGTATTCAATCTATTTTCCTATTACAAAATGATACCTTTACAAACAAACAGGAGTGGGTGAAGAATTAAAATTATCTAACATCCAGTAGAGCAAGATCTTGGTTAAGCAGAATATGCCTGAAGATGTAAGCTATCAAAGAGTTAAACAGAAATGTCAAACCAGCTCAACAGTGAGGAATGCGGGTGTAGGGACACAAATCCCATCCTTACAACTCTGGGCCACTTCGAAAAATACTTAAGTCTCTATGCCTCATCTTTCTCTTTACAATGAGGGGATTCAGAGTTTTAGGAGCAAAGGAGACAATTACACGAACTGTCTAGAAAATAGGGCCTGCGTGGGGTAAGCACTCTACAAACAGAACCAAGTGCTACTATAATCAAGCTCCCCGCCCCAACAGGGCAGAGGGATGGAGCTGTTTGCTGGAGGCAGAAAGAGGCAATTGGAACATAGGGGAGTATGACACAGCCCATCTTGGGAATGCTCAGATAGGTGGCCCTGCTCACTACATTCTTAAGCTCAGTGTTTGGGGACACTCACAGACCAGAATTCATTTGTATGTTCTGGCCACACAAATGAAGAGAGATCAGGGAATAGTAGGTCTTTAAAATTACACAATTAGAATGAAAATTGCCTCTCTGTAAACTGATACTTAGCTCAGAAAAAGCAATGGTCAAGAGACTTGGCTTCTGAGTTTAGTTCTGCTATAAGCTGTTTACTCTTAGGCAAGTCTAAGCACAAGGATATTAACTTGAATAGGTAATAGTTAATGGATGCTTTTTGGGCAAATGCACCAAATCCTTGGCACAAAAACCCAGTGAAAAAGACTATTAGCAATCCATCTTAAAGATAAACAAATTAGGCTTACAGAAGTGATGGGCCCAGAAGGACATAGTGGGTAGAGAACTTCAGAACCCAAGCAGTTTGAACCTTGACCACCACAAGGCCTCAATCTCTGGCCTCAGGTCCCACGTGTGCAAAATGGGAGCATATGCTGATTCTTTGACTAGTATGCCTCAGCTTCATCAAGTAACACTATGTTGCGCCCCCCCCAAAAAAACCCCCAAGAATTCATTTTATAGACAAGATGTAACAATATTTCAACAGGTGAGGATGGGGCCACAAATCTATACTTCAGACTAGAAATGGGACCATCTGAAAATCTCTTCGCTCGAGGTAAAGATGACCATGCCCTCTAGTGGCTGGCCTGGAGCACACCACCAGACATGCCACACACTCGCCCTACTTTTTAGTACAAGGAGCTAGTATCTGAAAAAGACTATTTCCATTGATTTAATGACTGGTTTTTAGGATTCCTGTGCTATCTTCCACCCACAATTAGTCTTATGAGCATCATCCTACTGCAGTTAAACCTCTTCTTTTGGAAGCAAAAGCAAACCATGGGATTTTAGGCAATCGCCAAGCAGAGGCTTATCTATGTGTAGAAGGTGAGCCACAAACATGTTGGATAAGAGTGACTGTTTTAAAACTCCAACTATATAAAGTACTGCGGGTTAAATCATAGGAAAAATTTAAGACCGGTTTAAGGTTGATCGGACTGAGGTTTCTCCCTTTGAATCTTTAAAAATAACCACATATTCACAGATAACGTTTTATAGTTGAAAGAATATCAAAATGAGTTGGAATTCTTACATCTTATTTGGACAGGGAGAAAAAAAAACACTAGAAAGAAAATGGAGAAAAATCATCTAGGTTCTGTGTAGTTCACTCTTGTCAATGCACTCCAAGAGTAGAAATCTGGAGGCCATCTCACTCTGGCAGGGAGAGAAAGGGGCTATGGAAGTATCTTACCGTGGCTGCTTGGAAATGAACTGCCCAGCCACTAAAACAGAAGGTCAGTGCGACACCAGCCACTTCACAGCCACCATCTCCACAGGAAGGAAATCCTTGCTTTTCTCTCCCCAGTGTGCCGGTTTCTTGCACGAAATGCCACACACAATATTCTCTTCAAGGTGGAATCAAAAGCAACCAGTGGTAACGGAGGTCTAAGACCCCCAGTGTACTTCCACGTATGGACCGAAGAGCATCAGGACAGAATTCCAGGACTTAACAAAAACCTGGGCAACAACTTTCTGGCCTTTTCTGCTCTGCTTTGGTCCCAGCAAACCAAGCAGATACACCTGTTACAAGACCACTTAACATCCCCCCATCAGGCATGGATCATTTGCAGCTCAATTCACACAGGCAGTTTCCTAACAGGTTTGCTTTTAGTTTGTCCATCTCTCCAGTACAGACCTTGGCCGCAGTTCACGTGAAAAAGCTCAGAGGACTACCGGCCAAGGGGCAACAGCAGCTATTACCAGGCAGGTAAGCTGTCAAAATAAAAAGTTTTAAGCTGCACTCAGAAAGCAGCAGCCACTGAATTGCATCCAGAAAACCTGGTTAGGTTCGAGAAGAACACTGACAAACTAGATGCAAACAGAGGAGTACTGGCAGGTTGGGGGAAGATAGGGATTCTTGTTACAAGCACAACTTAAGAAACCATGCTCACACCTGAAAGAAAACTAAGGCGGTACAACAGAGGACTTCACATACAAGCAACAGCCACATCCGAGATGAGATTTATTCTATGTGGCTCCAGAGAAGGGAAATCAGGACCCAAACATGAAAGGTAAAAGGAGACGGTGAGGATTTATTTTTTGTGTCAACTTGGCTAGGTCACAGTACCCAGACACCTGGTCAGGTATTGCCATGAAGGTTATTTTTAGATGAGGTTGACATTTAAATTAGTAGACGGAGTAAAACAGATTACCCTTTGTTTGTGGACCTCATCCCGTCAGTTGAAGGCCTAAAGAAAAAAAGACCAACTCCCTCAAGGAAGAGGGAACTCACTATCTTTGGACCTGAGCTACAGCACCTACTCTCTTCTGGGTCTCCAGCCCGCAGGCCTATCCTACAAAGTTTGGACTTGCCAGTCCCCACAATCATGTGAGCCAATTCTTTTCAAAGAAGTCTTTCTACACACACATACCCTATCGGTTATGTTTCTCTGGAGAACCTGACAAATACAGAGACATCAGGTCAACATAAAGAAAAATCCTTCCAACCACAAGGGCTACCCACACACAGATGGGCTCTCTCAGGAAGCATTTAAGTCAAGGCTAGACAAGTATCCGTTGGTGATACTAAAGAAAGGATTCTTGCTCTAGGTGGGTGGATAGACTAAATGTCTAAATTTCTTTCCAACTCTCAGACTAAGCAGGATCTCAAACAACAATAAGCAGCCTACCTGGCAAAGGGAAATGTTTTCATAAGGCTTGGCCTGGGCATGTAAGTGAGCCTTAGCTTCTCGTTTATCTCCATGCACAAGCAGGATTGGTTTCTTCCTGAAAACAGAAGTATTTAGAATACATCTTTTATAAAGCTGGACTCTTGACTAAAGAATGTTAGGTGTTTCCTTACCACCAAACAAGTGTTTCTGGCCTTTGTGGTCACGGAGTACAGAGCTAACACATAGCACTATTCAGTTAATCTCCACTAGCCAGTTACCTTTACAACAGAGTCATGTGGCCTGATCCCAAAGCTCTGTTGTGACCGAGAGGTTGTGACTCGAGGAAGTCCCTGAGTAACTATCTTCTTTGATCCAAAAGAACATATAGTTAGCTCTGTGTTCGTTTTCAGGTTCAGATTACAAGATAAACATTTATTGTTACCTAGTATGATGCTCTTTTTCTTTCCCTTTCTTTAGACCAAGCAAAGAGCATTTCCTCATCAGACCTAATATTCACTAAACTCCTACTGTGTGCTAGGTATGGCAGTAGTCCCCAAGATCCAAGGGTGAACAAGCCCAGGCCCAAGGCATGATGCAGACTAACAGGTTGTTATATTTCAATGAAACAAGGCATTTTGTGGCTGAGTCCTGCTCAATGAAATATAAGCAGGTGTTGTGTAGAACTTCCAGGAGACTACTCAGAGGAAGCACAGCTGGGATGTGGCCCTTTTGTCCTTTCTCCTTCCTGCCATGTGGACCACAGACCAGTGACCTGGAGCCCCGGGTGCCATGCACCAGGATGGTGGGACAGAAAGACAGAATGGGTGGACAAGTCCCTGAGAACCATAGTAACCCCCGATCCAGACCACAAATGTCTACCATCTGGACTTCTTAGGTTGGAGAAACCATTTTCTCTCATTTAAGCCAGTTATTTTTGCTTTTCTGTTACATATCGCTAAAACTAATCCTATGTGTTACCGGTCAAATACAAGCCTTTGTGTGTCAAAGCCACTTGGGAAATTTCAATAGCATTTTACCTACTATTAATAAAGTTTCTAGAATCTGAGGTCCTAAATGCACCAAGGACTTTGACAATCATCCTGTGGGTATATTCCTTTACCTTACTTGCTGTTAGGGGTTTTGCTAGGTGAATGTTAAAAACAGGACAGATGGCAGGGCACTGTAAAATGCTATCTTTCTCTGGTCTACACTACCAACACCAGGCTGAGGAACTATAGAAGACAAGCTGAAAAATCCATCACCTCCATAATCTGGATAAGGGAAGCTCTAAGACCTCCCTTCACTAGCTCCTAAACCACAGGAAGAATCATTTGCAAAGATTCTTTGAACATGGGCACCTAGGCGGCTCAGTTAAGCGTCTGCCTTTGGCTCAGGTTGTGATCCTGGGGTCCTGGGATCAAGTCCTACATCAGGCTCCCTGCTCAGTGGGGAGTCTACTTCTCCTCTCCCTCTGCCTGCTGCTCTCCCGCTTATACGCTCGTGCACAAATAAAACCTTAAAAAAAAAAATTCTTTGAACAGCACTGCTGTACTAAGTATGGCATGCTTACAGGTCTACAAAGCAGGTAGCAATGATCTTTTCCTTCACATTAATATCAAAGCTGTCTTGGGGCGCCTGGGTGGCTCAGTCATTAAGCATCTGCCTTCGGCTCAGGTCATGGTCCCAGGGTCCTGGGATTGAGCCCCACGTCGGGCTCCCTGCTCCGCGGGAGGCCTGCTTCTCCCTCTCCCACTCCCCCTGCTTGTGTTCCCTCTCTCACTGTGTCTGTCAAGTAAATAAAATCTTAAAAAGAATATATCAAAGTTCTCTATTTTTTTTTTTTTAAGGATTTGAGAGAGCGAGAATGAGAGAGAGAGAGAGTATACACAAGAGGCGGGAGGGTGAGAGGGGGAAGCAGACTCCCCACTGAGCAGGGAGCCCGATGCGGGACTTGATCCGGCAACTTCAGGATCATTACCTGAGCCGAAGGCAGTCGCTTAATCATCGAAGTTGTCTTTGGATTGCTTTGTCCTTATCTACTTCTGGAAACAGCAACAGAGGCAAATGCTAAAACCCGTATTAGGAATGCATGTGACTACTTAGACTAGATCAACAAATGCTGTTTTCCCTATATAACTAAGTTTGTAGGATTTCAATAGTTTCAAAAGAAATACTCGAGAAAGAGGAACAGCAGTTGCCTGAGAAACACTAATCTTGCATTTTAAAGCCCCATTACAGTTAGGATGTTATCAGACATCCTGTGGTACTCACCTGAACTCTGGTGGATACTGTTTTATGAGCCAGTCCACGTCAAAGCAGTAGTTAAACTAGATGGGGAAAGAAAAGGATGGAGTTATAGGATTCAGGCAAGCAATCTGTAAGAACAGTTTGGTTATTGAATTGAAAGAAACTCTAGAGTAATGACAAACTCCAAATATTATTTATAAACCTGGACAGTTGCGCTACAATACTCAAGCCTAAAATACATCTTGAAGGGAATTCCCGATTCAAGGAATCTAAATCACTGGAGTAGTGCATGAGGAAACAGGTTCTAAAGAAAGGATCCCGCAGGCTTCGGCAGTATTTGTATTTCTAAATAATCTTACTACATATTTCTAAGAGCCCTCTGATTAATTTAAATAAAAGGACTTACAAATTTATCCCTTTTCCCCTAGGTGATTATAAAAAAGACTTTTAGAAAAGAACATTTCCTTTCAGCCTAACTTATGAGCTAGCTTTGTGAACAGGCCTCCGGGATTGGACATTCACTAGGCGTAGAACAATTACATCTTGACTACAAGTTCTGCACTGAACTTATCCATGGGCTCCTCCCCATGCCCGGGTAATCCCTGGCCCTCCCCCTCCAATCTAGCTAAAAGAACACAAATTCACCCCATGTTCCATCTGGAGACTAGGATTCTGGAGGCCAAGCTGGACATAAAGCAAACAGATAGCTTTGCTTTCTTTGTGGATGTGACCTGTTTTCTCACTATTTCCTCAAGAGCCTGGAGCATTAAGATCATTCATCAACACAAGGGGACCAGCTCTATAAAGCAGGAGCAATCAAACACAAAGAACTACACATAACTTTTACTCACTTCTTTTCGGTAGGTGTAGGAAACCGTTTTCTAAATCGAATCAAACAACTTGGCCTTCACCTACCTGCCCATATCTTCCCAGGAGTTGTACTAGAATCCCAGATTAACTGGGTCCCAAAACGAAGTCCCTCAGGTTGGAATTCCCAACGTGACTTCTTGGCCAGTCCTTGTAACCCAATCCAGAGCTAGAAGCTCCACTGATCATGGCATCCTTATTCCATGCTAATGGCTGGATACTGTGGCCACAACTGTGGCTCCTGGTGCCAGCCTCCTGGTATGGGCCATCTTGGGGACCCTGTACAGGACTGAGATAGGTCCTCACGCCTATTTTCTTGTGGGGTTGTCCCTTTTCCCCCAAAGAAAAAAACCACCATAAACTCACCTGAGCTGAAGATACAAGTGTCCCAAAGAGAGGAGACAGAATATCTGAGAAGACAAAAAAAACCCATTTTATCTAATTCATCTTTTGTTAAAAATCATCTGGTAATAATCACAATTGACTTAGTCATTGACAATCAAAATTTGGCTGAGAAAACTGAAGGGACTACAAAGCTAGGCTTTAATGTTCCATAAAATTCAAGAGAAAATTTGAGCTATTTAATAATTATTACGTTTTAACAAAATACAACGTAAAACTAAAACCTCAATTTCAGAATTTGATGACTGGTCAATTTTAAAAACTGCCAGTAAGGACAATAAGGACATTTTTTTTTTTTTATTAAAGATTTATTTGACAGAGAGCACACAAGCAGGGGGAGTAGAGGGAGATGGAGAAGCAGACTCCCTGCCAAAAGGCAGACGTTAAGAGCACTTGTGCTCTTAACCATCAAACTGCCTGAGGATTAAGAGTAGGCTCCTTTGGGGCGCCTGGGTGGTTCAGTCCGTTAAGTGTCTTTCAGCTCCAGTTGCGATCCTGGAGCCCTGGGATCGAGTCCTGCATTGGGCTCCCTGCTCAGTGGGGAGGTTGCTTCTCCCTCTCCCTCTGCCCCTCCCCCTGCTCGTACATGCACACAT